TTCTCCTTAAAGACACTTGCTCATTGGCATCCATTTTTCCCACTCATATTACACAACTTCTGTCATAACATGCATTCAACAATATAGCAAAACAATGTAGTTCCTACTTTAAGCAGAATGAATAACCCTGAAACTGAAATATTATAATTGGAATCAGGACAGGGAAAAGCTAAGAGAAAAACTCAAGTAACAGGTATATAGGAATTTCATGATATAGAAATAATAATTGATATAAAAATAATAATTTCATGATATAGAAATTTCATAATTTATGTGAATATTTACTTTATAATGAACATTATCTTCAATTTCATGTCATTGCAAAAATAGCAAAATACACATATTTTCACATAAGTCTCTGTGCAGTTGGTTCTTACCAGATAAATTTTCTTAAATGATTAAATTTATACCCGATAATTTAACAATTCCAATTTCAAGATAATCATAAAATTTCTTAAATATGTGAACAGTCTAATAATTGTTTTAGTTTACACTTCTAATAGCAATGTATGAGAATACACATTTCTTCACATGTTTGATGACACTGAATATTCAATTTCTTCTGCTTTTATTTTTACCAATCTGATAGGTAAAAATATTATATCACACAATAAAAATAAAGTAAAAACTGATATCTCACAAAAATTTACATTGGATAGTTTTTCATATTTTTTTACCTTCAATTATCTTAGTTCATGCCCCTTAATTAACTGGGGTTTTTTGGGGAGGCATCTTTTTAAAATTTTTTTGATTGAGTTTTAGTTGCTCCTTTACTCCTAAATATTGAAAGACTTTTTCCTAGTATGTATTTGTCTTATAATTTTTACGGTAATTTTCAACTATTGAAGTTTAAAGGTATGCTGTCAGAACTGTCAACATTATCTTTTATGTCTTATTTTTATGATGCTCTTAGATGAACGCTTATATAATAACATTACAAAAATATTTTACCTCCTTCCTCCTAATACTTTTCTGTAAAATATATTGTAAAAACATGCATAGCAAATTTAGTACTGACTTTAAATATATCACTCAATGAATATTCACAACGGGAGTACACCTTGAGAAACCAGCACCCAAATCTGCTTTTTCCCTTCAGCTCACCATTTCCTCAAGAGTAATCACTCATCTCACTCCTAACTTGGCCAGGTTAATTTGGCCTGGTTTTGAATTTCACACACACAAACTCTTTTATGTCTGGCTTTTCTTGCTCACCATTATGTTGGTGAGATTTCTTTACGGTTAACTGCCTGTAGTTGTAGTTCACTTCTATCTCTTTTTATTGTCTTCCTATTTACATTTCAATCATTAATCGTTCAAAATTGTTTTAGCATAAATATTCATGGAATTCTCAAAATATCTTTCCTAGACATATTCACTCATCTCTATAACATTAGTGAATAATGTGGGGAACAAATACATTGTTTCCCATAAACTTCTCATAAATACTGGGGTAAACTCTAAATTCTTTGTGTGATTATAATGATTTATCTGACCATTTCTTTGACAATACCATAGAGTTCCCATTTCTAAAGCTTTGTATTCTCTGCCAAGACAAACATGTTTTTTTTAATTATAATGTTTTGTTTTCTTTCTTCTTTTAATATTTGACCTCTTAAATTAACACTTCTCATTCGATTATATCTGATAAGATAGCTATGGGCTTGTTTTATGTGTTTTCTTTATCTGTAACTTTATTGGGAAGAAGACAAATCCATTCAGTCTTGAAAGAAAGAGTGACATATTCTCCTGAGCCATGTAACTGTGACCTCCCAGTAGGAGGTAAAAGATTCTCAGATTCCCAGTAATAACCTCGCGGGAGTCACAGTATTTTTAGTACCTTTCCATATCAGTTCTTTGAATGACCTATACATATAAAGGCAAGTCCAATGTTCAGAAGCAATTACTTGATTATACATTTGTATTATCTTCCATCTAGTTGACCTTTGTCTAGTTAGTAAAACCAACCGCTTCTATGCTCAGAAATGGGCATCCCTTCCTGCTCCTTTCTCAACGCCAGTGTGGTTTCTGTTTGCTTATTTCAACTTGGCACTTCAATGGTTACATTCTTCCAGGAGGTACAAGGTCTGTTTGGTCTATTAGTACTTGCTCCCTAGGTTTTGATCTGCTTCATTTTGCTTAGAACCAGTTTCACCTGCGTACAGTCATTTTCTTTCTCCCAGAGATTTAGAAGCCCCCCAGGCAGTTCTAAGCATTGTCTTGCAGATTGATTTCTGTTTTCTAGTAGTGTGTCCCTCCTGGGAAGGCTAGGGTCTGGTAGTAACAATTATTATCTATATCATAATTTTCAGCAAAAAAAGAAGAGAGAGAGATATTGTAGCTGAGGTTCCTAATATATTTTCTACATCCAAGGAATTGAAGGAATACTGAGCCAGACGTAAGAGGATTCATAAAAATACAAAATAATATATAATTTTAGAAGTCAAGACAGTCATTATTCTCAAAGAGACAGTGGATTCTTCTAGCGTTCTTGTAATGTGATGTTTTGATACAGGTGCTGGGGACATGGATCCCCAAATGAACCCAGCCTGTGCTGAGTTGAAGAGGAGAGTTGGTAAAGGGAAAAGAAATGGATGAGAGTAAAAAATAAAATACGTGTTAACTCCTTAATTGACTCAATTAACCTGGCTACCTTCATCTTGTATATAATCCCTAATCAGAACAAGAAAGAAAATTTGGAAAAAGATAGAGATTGTTTAAGGAAGTGACTATAAGAAGTCTCAATTTAAGCACAAAAAGTTAGTTTTCCTGAGACTCCAATAAATGGAATAGGTAGATATAGATATGAATATAGATAGATATAAAAGTCTAAGTGACTGACCATCCGTCCAATCTGCTGACCAACTGGTCAGTACAGTTTATGTGCACTGGAAATTTAAAAATAAACGTTGACTCATACACTTCTATTATAGAGAAAGGGGGAATAGCGATATTAAAATATTTTGTACGTATTATCTACACTAATAAAAGAGAAAAATGGTAATTGGTGTATGGCACTACCCTTTTCATTGGCTAATCAGGGCTATATGCAAATTAACTGCCAACTAAGATTGGCAGTTAACTGCCAACAAGATGGCGGTTAATTTGCATATGTAGGCACAATGCAGGGAGGCGAAAGGGAAAGCAGGAAGAAGCCCCCTGCCACTGACAGTGATGGAAACCCAGGGGGGAGCTAAGAGCTGGGGGGCAGGGCAACGGCAGCCCTGGGGCCGCCTTTGCCCTGCCCCCCAGCCATGAATCGGAGAATCAGGTGCCTTTTCCGCCCTGGCCAGTGATAGCAGGAAGTAGGGGTGGAGCCAGCGATGGGAGCTGGGCATGGTCGAAGCTGGCAGTCCCGGGATCTAGGGGTCCCTTGCCTGGGCCTAAAGCGGAGCCCACGATCGCGGGGCCGCTGCAGCTCCAGGTCCCCGCTGCCCAGGCTGGACGCCTCAGCCAGAGGCATCCTGCAGGGGCAGGGATGGAGCCCGTGCGATCGCGGCCCCCCCTCCCACTCCCCCCGCCCCCACTGCCACTGCAGGTCCCTGCTGCCCGGGCCGGACGCCTAGGCCAGAGGCGTTAGGCCTGGGCAGGGGTGAAGCCTGGGGGTCCCCTGCCCAGGCCTGACACCTCTGCCGGAGGCCTCAGGCCTGGTCAAGGGGCCAATCCGGTGATTGGTGATCGGAGGGTGATGAGGGTCAACTCCTCTGGCCGAGGCATCAGGCCTGAGTGGGGGGCGGAGCCGGGGGTTGGGGGGATATGATGGTCCCCTTGCCAAGGCCTGAAGCCTGGGTCAGAGGCGTCAGGCTTGGGAGGGCGGTGGAGCAAGCGATCAGAGGGAGATGGGGGTCCCCTGCCCAGGCATGATTCCTGGGCCAGAAGCCTCAGGCCTGGGCGGGGGTCAGAGCCAGTGATCGGGGGGAGATGGGGGTCCCCTGTCCAAGCCTGACACCTCTGGTGGACTCATCAGGCCTGGGCAAGGGGCCAATCAGGCGATCGGAGGGTGATGGGGGTCTACGCCTCTGGCCGAGGCATCAGGCCTGGGCAAGGGGCAGAACCAGTGATGGGGGGAAAAGAGGGTCCCCTGCCCAGGCCTGATTCCTGGGCCAGAGGCATCAGGCCTGGGCTGGGGGCAGAACCAGTGATGGGGGGAAAAGAGGGTCCCCTGCCCAGGCCTGACACCTCTGTCAGAGGCGTCAGGCCTGGGCAAGGGGCCGATCCTGCGATTGGAGGGTGATGGGGGTCAACGCCTGAGGGCTCCCAGTATGTGAGAGGGGGCAGGCTGGGCTGAGGGACACTCCCCCCCGCACCCACCCAGTGCACAAATTTCGTGCACCGGGCCCCTAGTATATACTATGTTGATATGTAATTTTTTGCAATAATGTAATTACCTCACAAATCTTTCTTCTAATTGATTTCCTTTCAATGTGTACGAATCCTTGGCCACTAGTAGATTAGATATAATATAGATGTAGATAGATAGAGATAGAGATAGAGATAGAGATAGAGATAGAGATAGAGATAGAGATAGAGATAGAGATACATCGCTTATCAGCCTTTTGGCTAAGATCAAGTGTAGATATAGATATAGATATAGATATAGATATAGATATAGATATAGATATAGATATAGATATAGATTAAATATAGATATAGATAGAGATAAAAATGGAGATAGAGATAGAGATATTGTTGTTTTCTGAAAGAATTCAACATTGGCAAATTTTACTATGCTCCTTCTATAAACCTTCTATGACCAATTGCAGATATCTCTGGGTAGAGAAGATGTGACAGGTATCAGTATAAGTCCCAGTACAAACTTCAAGTCTTTTGTGAATTTGAACTACATATACCCATTTACCTCATGGGAGGAGGTAAGATGCCTTGCCCTTCCACCAAGAACTATGGTACTTTTTCCATCTCCCCTCACAGTGTTACTGTGTAACGCTAGGACCTCTGGACAAAATGTATCCAGGTCTCAGATGAATGGCTTTTCTCTCCAGGTCTGGGCTCTGGTCCTAATGTTTTCATGGTGGGTCCAGAAGATGGAGGAATAAGACTGAAGTGCACAGGCAAGAGATGGTTCCCCCAGCCTGAGGTACAATGGAAAGATGTGACGGGAGAAAAGATACCTTCTCTCTCTGAGGACAAGACCCAAGACGATGATGGGTTGTTTCAAATTGAGGCTTCTCTCATTGTGAGAGACAGCTCATGGAGAGAGGTGTCCTGCACCATGAAGAACCCCTTCTTTGGACAAGAGCAGGTGGAAACCATTTTTATCCCAGGTCAGCACTGTTCATTTTGGAGACAGGACAGGAGTAAGGAGGAGATGTGTGGGAACTGGGGTGGGATAGGCTTGCTCAGTGTATGTTTTTGATGAGGTTTTTGGGGCCCTGTATCAGAGCCCTTCTTCCCTAGGACCTCTCCTTGGAAAGTAGCATTCGCTGTGACTTTCCTCATACTTGGGATTTTCATCGGTGCTGTTGTATTTTTGACCTGGAAAGAGCAACAGGAAAGGAAGAGAGCAAAGGAAGCCCAGGAGGAAAAAGAAAAAGAAAGCCAAGCCAAAGGTAAAACTGAAGGAGACTTGGGGACATCTGTAAATGTATGAGTTTGTTAGCACCGCTGTGTATATGGATGGCATCTGTTGGGGCACAGAGACACATGTAGGACTTAGTTAGAGCCCAAGACCATCAAGAAGACATGCGGCCCAGGACCTCCAAGAGAAAAATATGATAATAGAGTCCAATGGAGAGAGGAAACTCACTGGTATAAACATGGGATCAAGAATAAATGGCCACAGTAATTCTCAGTTAAGATACATTTCTTGATCTAGACCAGTGGTTCTCAACCTTTTGGCCCTTTAAATACAGTTCCTCATGTTGTGACCCAACCATAAAATTATTTTCGTTGCTACTTCATAACTGTAATGTTGCTACTGTTATGAATCGTAATGTAAATATCTGATATGCAGGATGATCTTAGGCAACCCTTGTGAAAGGGTCGTTTGACCACCAAAGGGGTCAAGACCCACAGGTTGAGAACCACTGATCTAGACATATGGAAGCAGCATTTAGGATCTGGGCTCAGTAACAGTCTAGAAAGTAAACGTTGGACTTTTCCTGTAAAATCTGATTTGTTATTTTCTTTCCTTTTTAGAATCATTCAAGAAAGAGCTTGGTAAGTTATTTTTTATTTTTTACTAGAGGCCTGGTGAATGAAATTCGTGCACTGAGGAGGGGGTTCCCTCAGCACAGACTGCACCCACTCCAATCGGGGACTCCTCAGGGGAAGTCCGACTGCTGGTTTAAGCCTGACCCCTGTGGGATGGGGCCTAAGCTGGTGGTTGGACACCCCTCTCACAATCTGGGACTGCTGGCTCCTAACCACTCACCTGCCTACCTGCTTGATCACCCCTAACCTGTCTGCCTACCTGCCTGATTGCCCCTAAGTGCCTCTGCCTGCCTGATTTCACCTAACTTCCCTCCCCTGCTGACCTGATCTCACCCCCAGCTGCCTTTGCCTGCCTGATCACCCCTAACTGCCCTGCCTTGCTGGTCTGATCTCACCCTCAACTACCCTCACCTGCCGTCCTGATCTTGCCCCCAACTGCCCTCCCCTGCCAGCTTGATCTCATCCCTAACTGCTCTCCCCTGCTGGTCTGATCACCCCTAACTGCCCTCCTGCTGGCCTGATCTCCCCGCAACTGCCCTCCTCTGCTGGCCAATTTGTTTCTGATTGGTCAATTTCTATGCCAGTCAGCATCAAAAGCTCCACTTCCTAGGCAGACATTGGCTCCTTATGTTCACCCAGATTTGGTTCTGATTGGTTAATTTCTATGCCAGTCAGTGTCTCTGGGCCTATCAACAGGGCCTGATCAGAAAGGCAGGGCTGATCAGAAGCCCTGGTGGAGAGAAACAGAGGCATGACTGGTGGCCTGATGAGGAGAGAAAGAGAGGCAAGTTCTGATCAACCACTGCCACAGAGACTGCGGATCAGACCCTGCCTCTCTCTCTGAAGGCCTCTCTCGGGCCTGATCCTCAGCCCCCTAGGCCAGTGGTCGGAAAACTGCTGCTCATGAGCCACATGCAGCTCTTTGGCCCCTTGAGTGTGGCTCTTCCACAAAATACCACGTGTGGGTGCGCACGTACAGTGCGATTGAAACTTCATGAGCTGCAGTTTGCCAACCACTGCCCTAGGCAGTTAGTGCTGGGTGTGGGTGCCGGTAGCAGCCCCAGTCAGTGCTGGGTCACCACGGCAATCCAGCACTGACTTCCAGTCTGGTCCTTCTCTAATGGTAGTTGCATCATGGCTCTTTATTATATAGACTAGAGGCCCATGACATGAAGAGATTCATGCAATAGGCCTTCCTTCCTCTGGCTGCCGGCACCAATTTTCCTTCGGCACCCAGGACCCAAGCCTTTGCTCCTGCCTCAACAGAGAAGCCACGCCTGGAGGCTTCTCCACTCCAACCACAGCAGAGAAGCCAAGCCTCTTCAAGCCTCTTTAGTCTTCTGTCTTCACTCAGGCTGGAGCCTTCAGTCTTTGCTAGGCGCCTGCCATTTTTTGGGGGGGTTAATTTGCATATTCATTTCTGATTGGCTGGTGGGCATAGCAGAGTGATGATCAATTTGCATGTCTCTCTTTTATTAGTGTAGATTTTCTAGTCATTACTTTATTCTGTACAGTTGGCATCTCACAGGCTGTTATTGCTTTTCAGACAGAAAGAAGGAATTATATAATCAAGGTGAGTTATACTGATATTGTTGGGTCAACCATCTCATCTGCCCCTCTGTTCTGATTCCCTCCTATAGACCTTGTTGGTGAAGGGGAATACTCCACCCTAAAATAATAAGGGGGTCACCCAACACTAGGCAGATGAGATTGACAGCGGTTTGTTAATCACATATACTCACATCCTGGGGCAAGGCACCACACACCGTGCAGGTGCCTTTGACACATGGAGGCTGCACTTGGGAGCTGAGTCAACCAGCAGGGCTGTGGGAGGTAGGATCATGATGACAGGAGGATGAGGCACTCCTGTTTTCTGTGGAAGTATGTGACTGGCATGTTTGAATAATTTTGCCAGCTGACAGGGAGGTGACACCCACTATTGGGCTGAGGACAGGTGGGGGCCAGCGGCTTTGGCTGGTAGGGGAATTAGCTGGGTGGGAGGTTTTCCTGCTGAATGCAGAGCATATCTGGTAAGAACAGGGCAACTCACAGTTGGGCATTTGGAGCCATGTGAGGCTTAAAGATGTCAAGGCAGCAATGCAATTTCAGGATTTACAACACAGTTTCACAATTATAGCCCATCCTCTTCTTCTCCAAAAAGAACCAGACCCCTCATATTTTATCACAGATGGGTTGGTGGATGTGGAAAGTGTGAAGAGATAGTACAAGAAATATAAAAGAAAACAAATATCCCATAATTTTAATTGAGATGATGAACACAGAAATATAGCACTATCATAAACCTTCAGATTCCATGAGATTGCAGCAATTTCAGTCTGAAGCAAATGTCCTTTGAATGGGAATATCTAACTTCTTTGTTTTATTTCAGACTGGAGAAAAGCTGGGTTATATGCTGGTGAGTAACTGATGTTGTCTTGGGGCTTCAGGTGCCCAGGATTTCAAGAGCCATTTCCAGGGCGTGTTTAGAAAGGTGCCATCTTCTGGAGATTTTATTTTGAAACTGAGAGTCTAGAAAAATATAGCGGCTAAGTGAATAAGCATCCCACTAGTTCAGAGGACATGTTCTTGCTGTATTTTAACGTGATTTTTTTTTTCTCTTTAGACTGGAGAAAGGAACATTTCAAAGCAGGTGAGTGGTCCTATTCTTTTGTCCTACATTATCTCTTTTATACAAACCAGAAACAGGTATATAAACACCCAATAATACCTCCTTGGTTAGGCACTTCATGGCTTTCACTTCAGTCTCAATTTCATGCTGAAACATTAACAGATTTCTTACTATTTTGATACCATTCATTCAGCCTAAATCTATACAACTATTCATTCAGTGTCAAATAAATACAGCTGGTCTCTGACTCCATGGGAAAGTACACATACAAATTGTGATGAATGTTATGAAGGAAAAAGCAATTGCTGTGAAGGGAAGGAATGGGGGATTAAAGAAACTGCCATGAAGAAATTATGTTCAATCTGAGACTTCAGCGACAAGGTAGATTTATTCATGCGAACAACATTGAAAGAAGTTCAGCCGGAAGGAAGTCTGCTGTGTAGCCATCCTGAGACAGAGCAGAGCTTGTTGCTGCTCAGTGCAAGTGCACAATGGCCCTGGCCTCAGAGTCTTTCCAGAGTTAGAGTTGATTGTCAATGACTAGTGCAGTGGTTCTCAACCTTCCTAATGCCGCACCCTTTAACACAGTTCCTCATGTTGTGGTGACCCCAATTCATTGTTACAAATTGAACATAATTAAGGCATTGTGATTAATCACAAAAACAATATGTAATTATATATGTGTTTTCTGATGGTCTTAGGCGACCCCTGTGAAAGGGTCGTTCGATCCCCCAAGGGGTTGCGACCCACAGGTTGAGAACTGCTTGTCTACTGCATTCTGCTTTACTCTGAATATCCCCGCATCCACACCCATCTTCTAGTTAACATAATCCTCCAAACACATAATATCCCACACACAAATTCTTAGAAAAACTTTAATTATTGAAAATGCTGGGTTTGACGAGAAGCAGGCTACTTGCTACTAGTACTAGAGCTACTGCTACCCTTAATGTACAGTGTTAGTGTTCCTAGAGCTACTGGAAGCTAAAGTTTACCAAGTGTTCGTCACGGGCAAGACATAGTATTAAACTCTACAGGTTACCTCATTTCTTGCTCCCCAGACTCCTATGCTGAAGGCTCAGAATTATGTTCATTGTCATGAGGGCAAAGCAAGGCTGAGAGAAGCAAAGTGGTTTCGCCAACTTCCAAGCTCCTAAGGATGGAGTGATTGTCACAATGTGGGCTTTCTGACTAAAGAGCCTGGGATTTCAACCATTAGAAGTATAAAAAGTGTTTGTGTGAGAAGGATAACTGAGTTATTACATAAGCCCAGAGAAAAAGGATACCAAAGAAACTTAAATGCAAATAGGTACAGTGTGACTGAAATATGGCAAGACTTAATTATTAAAAGCAAACAGCCAGCATGTGAAGGAAATTGGAGGGATCCCCATTCTGCAATACCCAATTCCTGGGCTTTCAGATGAGACAGCCGTCTTCCCTAAACAGTGTCTGCCTGTGGGGAACAGGTGGCCACCCGAGGTCCTGTCAACCCCTACCTTCTATGATCTACACACCACGCGTCTCCTATGACTAGATATGGATAGAACACAATGGTTTGCCCACTCTTCCATTGCTTTCCCCTTCTTTCCGACATGCCCCTTTTCCTGTATTTGAATCTTTCCTAAAACCAACCAGTCTTGATTGTAATGACCTTTATTTTTTTTATTTTTTTTATACCTGCAGTGGCTGTTACTCTGGATCCAGACACAGCTCATACCAAACTCATCTTATCTGAGGATAGAACACATGTTTCTTCAAAAGAAAATGTTTCTCAGAACCATGATGGCCCCGCACAGCAAGAGGACACCTTCAGTGTTCTGGGCCAGAATTGCTTTACCTCAGGGAGACATTACTGGGAGGCAGAAGTAAAAGTGGGAACAGAAGGTGGACCCGGAACCAGATGGGCACTGGGTGTCTGCTCAGATACAGTGAAGAGAGAGGGGTGGTTTGTAGAAAGTCCAGAAAAGAATTTCTGGGTGGTGGCATACAAGGAAGGGGAAATCAGGGCTCTCACTTCCCAATCAGAGCCTCTGTCACTGAGGCAGTGCCCCCAGAGGATAGGAGTGTTCCTGGACTGGGAGGCTGGGGATGTGTCCTTTTATAACATGGCTGATGGATCTCACATCTATTCCTTCACTAGAATCCAATTCTGTGGGATCCTCCGTCCTTACTTTAGCCTTCAGGGTCCTGGCACATCTGTGGCCATCTCCCCAGCCTCAGATCACACTGAAAATTGTCCTGATTCTTCTCCAAAGACCTCTGTGACTCACTCAAGGAGTTCTGATATGGGCGTCCCCCAAGAAGCTAACTCTCTGTTACCTCCATAAGAAGTGAAGTGTCAGTGCCTTAGGTATCTCTGAGCTGCCGCTACTCGAAGCTCTTATGGGTGAGAAAGCTGTTTCTGTGTGGAGAGTAGCCCGTTTTCAGTAGTTAACATTTCAGCCCCTGTCAAAGAGGGGGACGCAGAGAGAGGAATGGGGCAACTGGAAATGCATTGGGAGAATTTCCTCTGATGTTACCTTTGGGACAATGTGGTCTCTATGAGCAGTAACCATTGGTCACAAGAAAACTGCAAACAAATGCATGATATCTCTTCTGTTCCATTGCTCAGTGTGAGTTGAAATAAATGCAATGGAATACTATGCAGCTGTAAAAAATAAAGAACTCTTACCATTTGCAACAGCATAGACAGACCTAGAGAGCATTATGCTTATCAAAATAAGGCAGTCAGAGAAAGGTAAGTATCACATGATCTCACTCATATGTGGAATCTAATGAAAAACAAACTGATGAAGAAACATCAACCCAGAGACATAGAAACATCAAACAGACTTTCAGACCTCAGATGGAAGGCAGGGGAGGGTGGAGGGGGGAAGAGATCAACCAATTATCTCATGCGTACATGCATAACCCCTAGACACAGACAGTGGGTGGTGAAGGCTTAGAGGGGAGGGAGTTGGGAGAGGGAAATGGGGGAAAAAAGGGACACATGTAATATTTTCAACAATAAAGATTTATATTAAAATATTTTTAAAAATACATCTACAGAGAAATTTTCTACACTTATTGTTTGTGTTATCAAATGTGGAGGAGGGGTGGTGTCTAAAGGGAAGGGTCAACAGCTGAGTGAATTCTCAGTACATGTTACTGTTATTGGAAATACACAGAAATCATTCAAATCTTTTGAAAGTTAATAGCTCAGCTTGTCCTTGCCTCCTTGCCCTTTGACTTGTAAACCTGGAGTCTTCCATGTGGTGGAGAGGATGGTAAAACCTTTCCAGTGGGAGACCAAGCTTTCTTGAGGTGAGCCTTTTATTTATTAACTAGAGGCCTGGTGCACAGATTCATGCACAGGTGGTATCCTTCAGCCAGGCTGGTGCCCTCTCGCAATCTGGGGCCCCTCAAGAGATGTTGGAATGCTGGTTTCTACCGGATCCCTGAAAGCCCCAAACCGGCAGTCTGACATCACCCAAGGGATGTAGTAGTGTGTGAAGCAGCAGGCACCCAGTGAGGAGCCTGAGCCTGGGCAGGGCACTGCTCCCACTCATCCTGGCCCTGCTGTACCTGCCACCACTGCCGCTTGGTAGCCACTGCTTGGTAACACTGCCATGGAGGTGGGAGAGGCTGCAGCTGCGCTTGCCAGCCATGAGCCCTGTGTCTAGCGCCTGTCAGTCAGCTGAGCAGTGTTCCCGCTGTGGGAGCACACTGACCACCGGGGAGCAGCTCCTGCATTGAGCGTCTGTCCCCTGGTGGTCAGCGACCGGTCGACTGGTTGTTTGGTCATTCGGCAGCTTAGGCTTATATATATGGAGAGGCTTTTATGTATACAGACAAGTTCTCACTGGTCAGAAAGTCCAGACTTTTGTCCTCTGGGAATATGTGAATGAGAAGGCAATTGATGTTGCAGTTTATGATTTCAGAGTAAAAAGTAAAATTAGTCAAATAAACACGGAGAAACATATGCAGCCTTCATGGAGAAGAGTTGACAGCACTGCCTGTTTTCCTCACTGACGATGTCGTTCCCACTGTTGAGGTTTCCTTTGCCTCAATGCAGCTAAGCCTTCTCTAACATCACCGAGCTTGTGTCTTCAAGGATATAAAATACGAGCTTCTCCTTTTGAGTGAGCCTTCCCTTCCTGGTGATAGAAGAGAACAACTTAGCTTTTTCTACACTATTGACAGTTCTTTAAACCACAGGTCTCTCTTGGAGACTTAAGAATTCTTAAGAGTCTCTTAAGAATCTCTCTTGGAGATGAATCTCCTTAGCAAAAATTCCCTGGTACACTTAGTTGTGCAGAGCGACTACGGCATTTGGACAGGTTCAAGCCTTGGACTGATGAGAGGGCATGGTCCTCTTGTGCCAAAGCCACATACAAGTCTCAGCTTGGAGGGAAGAGCTCTCCCAGCACAATTATAGCCAAAGGCTATGGTTATATATGGTAACATTGACCTTATAGTCTGACCTTGTGGTCCTAGGTAGCTGAGGGATGTGGGCTGTGGGAGGTGCAGCAAGTGCCGCCAAAAGAAAGCTTGATAAAGTTCAGAGAATTGCAACAACAGAAAAGAAGCAGATTTGAAACTCGCAAGATTATAAACATCTTGCCCTTGTTTTGCTTTGTGGAATCTGACTATAAAATAAAGATTTGGCTTACAGGCTGTGTCCTCATCCAGGTGCAGTGATCCACCTGGCCCCAACTATATTCTCTTGTCTGTTTTCTTTAATCCTTCACCGCCCCTCCTCAGGTTCACCACTGGCCATGCTGGATGAGGTTCATTAAGTGGCAAAGCCAGTATTTCAACCCAAGAAGAACAAAACCAGAGCACAGAATATTCACGTCACTGACAGTGGGAGAAAGGGAGGGACTAACACAGCACCTAAGAAATAATAAAGGCAGGAGAGAAGTAAGTGAGCAGTGGGAAAATATTAAATTGCTATAATTAAATAGACATGGTAGATGAGGAGGGATTTCCATGTATGAGAACCCTATACACAGGGTCATAACAAAACAGAAAAAAAGTGAGTTTGGAACTATGATATAGAGCAGGAAGGATAATGGGCTCAGTTTAGGATATTTTTATTTTGTTCTAAATTTAGGATATTCAACATGAGGTTCTCAAATGAGTTTTCAGTGTCTCTCCCACTGGAACTAAATGCATACTTTGTTCTACACAGGATTCTTCCACCTGTCACTTCTCCACTCATTTTAATGAGCTTTTGTCCTCTAAGCTTGGAGACTGGGCAGCATAGGTTGGAGGTGGGCAATGAAAGAAAGTGTGAATATTGGTGGTTTTAGAACCAGTTGTAGAAATGTCAAGGTGACATCACCCACAGCATCCTCATCTCTAGTGTGGGCAAAACAACAAGCAGCGAAGGGTCGCCCAGTAGCCTATGATTTCTGGCAAAGTAATGAGCTTGAATTCACAGTCTGACTCCATCAATTGAATTCTTTAATGCTAAACTACTCTGGAAATCTCATTCTGAGTAGAGTTTATAAAGGTGTGATAGGACATTAAAAAACAAATAAGCTTCAATAGAATAAAAAATGGAAGGCAGAAATTATATCTTGTTAAGCATTTTATCTCTAGGGCCTAGAGAGTGCATTCTACAAATAAGGATTCAATAAATATCCTACTTATAAATCTACTCATGCATCCCACAAATGCTTATTGATCAACTAACTGGTGGTACTTTTCTAGGTTGTGAGGACACATAAAAGAAAAACTATTTCTGCCATAATGGAACTTATAATCTACTGACAAATAAGGAAAAAAGTCCTGCAGGGAGATTAACAAATTTAGTTTCTCTGTTTCCTTCAGTCTTCTTTTTTTTTTTAATTAATTTATTTATTTTTATTTATTGCTTAAAGTATTACAAAGGGTATTACATATGTGTCCATTTTATCCCCCCGCCCTAGACAGTCCCCTAGCCTCCCCTATCCCCCAGTGTCTTATGTCCATTGGTTATGCTTATATGCATGCATACAAGTCCTTTAGTTGATCTCTTACCCCCCTACCTCCTGCCCCCCAACCCTCCCCGGCCTTCCTGCTGCAGTTTGACAATCTGTTTGAGGCAACTCTGCCTCTGTATCTATTATTGTTCAAAAGTTTATAATGGTCTCTATTATCCATGAATGAGTGAGATCATGTGGTATTTTTCCTTCATTGACTGGCTTATTTCACTTAGCATAATGCTCTCCAGTTCCATCCATGCAGTTGCAAATGGTAAGAGTTCCTTCCTTTTCAGAGCAGCATAGTATTCCATTGTGTAGATGTACCACAGTTTTCTAATCCATTCATCTACTGATGGGCACTTAGGCTGTTTCCAGATCTTAGCTATGGTGAATTGTGGTGCTATGAACATAGGGGTGCATATATCCTTTCTGATTGGTGTTTCTGATTTCTTGGGATATATTCCTAGAAGTGGGATCACAGGGTCAAATGGGAGTTCCATTTTCAGTTTTTTAAGGAAACTCCATACTGTCTTCCATAGTGGCTGCACCAGTCTGCATTCCCACCAGCAGTGCACAAGTGTTCCTTTTTCTCCACATCCTCTCCAGCACTTGTCGTTTGTTGATTTGTTGATGATAGCCAGTCTGACAGGTGTGAGATGGTACCTCATTGTTGTTTTGATTTGCATCTCTCGGATGATTAGTGACTTTGAGCATGTTTTCATATGTCTCTTGGCTTTCTGAATGTCCTCTTTTGAAAGGTGTCTATTTAGGTCCTTTGCCCATTTTTTGATTGGATTGTTTATCTTCCTTTTGTTAAGTTGTATGAGTTCCCTATAAATTTTGGAGTTTAGGCCCTTATCAGATATGACATTGGCAAATATGTTTCCCACACAGTGGGTTTTCTCGTTGTTTTGTTGATGGTTTCTTTTGCTGTGCAGAAGCTTTTTATTTTGATGTAGTCGCATTTGTTCATTTTCTCTTTCGTTTCAAGTGCCCTAGGAGCTGTATCAGTGAAGAAATTGCTTCGGCATATGTCTGAGATTTTGTTGCCTTTGGATTCTTCTAGAATTTTTATGGTTTCCTGTCGTACATTTAAGTCCTTTATCCATTTTGAGTTTATTTTTGTGTATGGTGTAAGTTGGTGTTCCAGTCTTCTCCTTGAAACTAAGATTCATCCAATCTCTACATCTATTCTGAGAGTTGCCATGCTTTACATGACTACAACCATCTATGCATCGAGATCCTTTTGACTCACCAATTGTGGCATTTTACCCGAGCCTCTAATCATTCTCTTTCCTATGGATTTTTTTTTTATTGGAACTGGAAGTGAGATTGTAAATTAATCCCTAATTTGGGGAGCTAACAAAAAATTATGT